AAGGAAACTCGTCCTTTGGATAGGCAGCATTGAGGTCTCTAAAGTTGATGCAGATACGGATCTTTTCGTTCTTCTTCAGGACTGGCACAATATTAGCCACCCAATCGGGGTGTTGTTCCTCTCGGATGAAGCCTGATTCGATCAGCTTCTTCACTTCGGCTTCAATTGCCTCCATGATTTATGGACGAAACCGTCTTTGCTGTTGTTTGACGGGTTTGGCGTTCGAGTTGATGTTGAGATGATGCATGGCGATCCGAGGATCAAGACCAGGCATGTCCTCATAATTCCATACGAAGACGTCAACATATTCTGGAATGAGAGATATGAGGTCTTCTTTCTCCTTTGGAGGTAAACTGTCACTTATAAATATGGGTTTGGGTCAGCCTCATCTCCCATATTTACTTGGAGTATTTTATCCTCCGTGGGTTGATTGTGACAACCCCCAGTGTCAGAAGAACCAAACACGCAATCATGTGAAGAGGGTTCAAAAGAGGACTTGTGAGAATACTTAGAAAATTCTCCAAGTGTTGAATTCAGGCGAACTCACATTGACAGCCGAGGTCTCGTGTTCAGGTGAACTTCAGCCAACTGGCAAGCTCTTCCCGCTTGTTCATTCAGGCGGGGTTCACCTGTTTGACCAACTTTCGTTCTGCCTTTTTGGCGAAGGCTTGCTTGTAGGCGAGGTTTGGGTGTCAGGCGGGCCTGATGGGGCTCGCCTGTCTTCTTCAGCTCACCTGATTTAGGGAACTCGCCTGATTTAGGCAGTTCATCAGCTTTGAGAATTTTTCCAATAGAGCGAGGCTCACCTGAGTAGGTGGGCTCGCCTGAATTGGGAACATAGCCTAAAAAACAAAGCCCACCTGATTTGGGGGGCTCGCCTAATTTGATAGGTTCGCCCGAATGGGGAACTTTGCTCATGAAGTGAGGCTCACCTGCATTGATAGGCTCGCCTGGAACACCAAGTTCGCTAGTTTTAGGAACTTTGCTAATAGAGCGAAGCCCGCCTGAGTAGGGGGGCTCGCCTGATCAGCTCAGTTCGCCAGAACTGAGAACTTTATGTTCTCGCTTGGCTCTTTTCAGGCCTAAATACTAATTCAGGTCATCATAGGAGATGAGGGCTTGCGCCTCTTGGCGGGCAAGACCTTGTCGTCGTCGTTGTTTGTCTCTTCTAGAAAGAGGAGTGTTCATGTCGACGGTGAAGGTGTGGTATGCGTCGACATGAATCGTCGTCTCCTTCTGCATAGGGGAATGCGTGGATTGTTTGACAACCCAACGAGCAGTCCCTTGACTGGTCTTCTTGGCCTTTGGCTCGTCCTTGATTGGCTTGGGAGAGATAGAACCCCCTGCCATAGCTCGGGTAGAGCAATCATGCGTGGTTGCCTCAGCCACTTGGGGCTGGGCCACACACACTATTCTGTGGCGCTTGCGAAATGCATTACCACTAGAGGAGGATGAAGATAAGTACTCTTTGTACTTAGCTTGGTCGAATTCAATCATAAGGGACTCGATAGCTGTCCCCTCCGTGATTTTGTCGAATTACGCTACCACCATTTCAGATGAAGAAATAGTTTCTCCCACTGTGGTCACCATCTTCTGTAGGGCGCAAAATTTGATTCTCAAAGGAGATGATTTGTATTAATTGAATTGTGTGTTACAAATCGAAATAAAATAAAAAATTACAACATAAACGAAGAGAATGCTCTTCTTGTTTAACGTGGGTTTCTCGATAGCGATAGGACGCCTTCCTCAATGCTCATGTCGAGTTTGCTTCCCTTAGACGAACTGATCGAAATTGCGATTGAACTTCAGTATATAGTAGAAGCTCTTGTGATTGAATTCGATTGCACGAGCTTGATGAGTATCAAGGTCGAATGCTTAGAGAAGGTTAAATGCAAGAGTTTGCAAAGAGCCAAGAGTCTTAAATCTGAGAGTTCAGATTGAGTCTACTTTAACAATCCAAGCTTCTAATCAAGAATATCCAGGCAAGCTCTCAAGATGTTACGACCAATTCTTAGAATGCCAAACTTCCAAGCTATCCAAATTCTAAGCCCCCTTCATGTTGCCAAAGGTGGCTTATAAATAGGCAAGGAGGGGGGCATGGTCAATCCCTTGACATGTGGGATGTGACCGCTCACAGGTGAGGAGCACCATACCCTCACCTATAGCTGTGGGATGTGACCACTAACAGGTGATGAAAGCTAGGCTCCATTACCCAGGATGTGGGACGTCAGTTTACCCACTCACACAAGCAAGCAACTTCTTACACCGCTCAGGCGAGCCTGGCGGGCTTGTAGGCGAGCTCAAGTGTTGTCTGAATGCTCAGGAGAGCTTGGCGAACAGGCGGGGTTGGCTGATAGACCCCTTAAGTGTGTGAGCTGAATCCTATTGGAAAACTTAGTTCGTGCGGGCGAACTTCCTATAGGCGAGCTTGGCTCGTGCGGGCGAGCGTAGCTTTCAGGCAAGCTCGACTCGTGCGGGCGAGTCGACCAAACAGCCTTGACTCGTGCGGGCGAGTCAAGCAATCAGGCGGGCTTGACTTGTGCGGGCGAGTCAAGCAATCAAGCGAGCTTGACTCATACGGGCGAGTCAAGCAATCAGACGAGCTCAAAACATGGGCATGCGGGGTCAATCAGGCGAAGTTTGACCTCCTTGATCAAAGGAAATTTTTGTTGCCTACAAATATGTCATTATATTTACCATATCTATGTGTACCGTCGATGCTAAAATAGGACAATGAAATTTGAATCCCTCAATTGAAGGACTAAATGCCCAAAATACCCCCATGAATCGACAATCTTAGCCGTCCACCAGCACTGATGTAATGTGGTACACTGTCTAGAGATTTTTTTTCTTGATTGTTTCAAGATAATGTGGTAGTATCCCATAAGACTTATCTCGATCTCTGAATATTTCTATCATTGCATTCCTTCGAGGATTTCAACACTTGATGTGTAATACTTTCAATTTGGTCTCATTATGAATTGTATCACTTTGGAGTTAGAACACGATCCTCCCTTATTTTCTGCATAATCAATCAATATATGAAAGAGGCGGATGCATGTCTATGATTCGATTCTAAATGAGAATTGTTGCATGTGTGAACTCTATAACATCCGATTATTTTAAATTGCCCATTAATTCTTATCTCAGCCTGTGAATTAAGCTTCCAAAGACAATAGATATTTCCATCATGAAGAGGAATCCTATCTTGTTGATCATAACAAAAATAAACTACGTTGTAGCTTCATCCATTGCTTTTCGTCTGCATGAACTTTACATTTTTCTTGATGGATCATAAATAAAGGGCATGAACCAACTTCTCCTTGCTCTTAAATAAATCACCATTTTTGAATGTGAAGTAATCACCTTGTGTGTCATCATTTTGGAATTGGACCAATAGGGACATTTTTCATTGTAGAAGCATCAATCCATTCATCTCCTTGAAACTTGTCAGTAGGGGATTCTCGAACACAACGTAATTATTGTTAGAATAAGATTGGTTAAGCCATCAGGGGTCTATGTCATTCAAATCTTCTCTTATCACACATTCAAAGCTATAAATTTGTAAGTTGCATTCTTGTTCATTATTTGCGGAGTCGTCACTCACATCCTCCTCTTCTATCACCACTCCGACGGAAAGCCTCATTTCTTAATGAAAAATGTCGTCATTGAAGGTACTTGATCTCCCTCTAAGTGAAAGCCCGCTCAAGTATTGTAATTGGGTTCAATACATATCTCGTTGAGGAGATATAAAGCCGCTAGAATCAACTTCAAGTTTCAACATGCGTGAGTACATCCTATCGTAATTCAATATTTAGCCCAAATTCCTTCCCAAGAAACAATTCCGCCAGCTGCTTCTTCTTAAGCACTTGAAGCATGACCTTCACATCATTGTCGCTTGAGATTTGAACAGCGGTGATTCTACTCTCTATCACGAGCCAATTGCAAAACACGTTGAGTTGATGCTTACTAGGATTAATCAATGTAAGTTGGTATAATTCATTAATCAATCGGTTAAAAGCGCATGATTTTCTAATCATGAACGGTTTTCTCATCCCTCATTCATGTATGGTGATATAATTATAATCATAGGTAATTTTCCCATTATACGAACAAAACAATAAACACTAGATCGCTCATCGATGTCTTTGAGAAGTAAAAAATATTCAAAATCAACCAAGATGTAAATAACATATAAAACAAAACTTCTACCCATTACCTAACCTAACTTTTACACCATTTCCCCTAACTTTTTATTTCTCAATTACATACAATTTTTCAAAAAAGCCCATTTCTATTCCCTAAATCATACAAAAAAATATTAATAAATTACCAAAGATAACACTTTCAATTTTGTATACTTTGTAAAGGCTTTTCTTTTTTCGATAATATACCTAGTTTCAAGGCACAATGCTGACGTGATTAAAACTCGATCGATTTCAATAAAAAGTTTAAGATTAGGTCAAAATTGATAAATATTTTTGTGAAATGATTTATTTCAAAAAATTCTGCCAATAACAACTGTCCCTTCTAATGTAAAGAAAAAACCTCTGGTTAATGCTTTGTAAATCATATACTTTGTGCACAAATCAAATTTCCAAAACACTGGATTAGCAAACGAAATAAATTATCCACAATATTGCATACATCAAAACAATGGATTTAAAGTTAACTTCGTACAGTAAATATTGCATTAAAATATTGCATTCGACATTTGTTGTCGCAATATTTGCTACACTTCAGTTTGACAACAATCCAAGATCTTCTAAATGAAGCAACAACGTGCTGAAGAACCCTCCAAAAATTCTCTGGAGTCACCAAAAATCTCAAATGTATGAATAAGATTTCATCAAGGCAGACAGCGTCCAACAACACCACGCACAAGGAAAAAGGCCAAAAAAAAAAACACCGTCCAACAACACCGTGCACAAGGAAAACGCAAAATAAAAAAAAAGAAAGGAAAAAAAAGATACTCAGTGTAAGAAAGCAAAAATCAAGACTGCAGCGATACGAGAAATAGAGTTTGTCATTCTTTCTCATACCATTCATTCTATAAATCTGAATCAAGTGCATTGACATATGGACCTATCTTCTGAATATGATACAAGAATATTATCCAAGGCACATTTGAGCACTAAGATGATACAAGGCAACACTTACAGTCTCCCATGCTTTTTTACATCTGAAACCTGACTCACGAACAAGTAGCGTTCCAAGTTGAAGCCTTTGGAGCCAAGATCCATGGACAGAAAAGAATAAGTAGAAATTTCCATGTGGCCATATGAACCACAGTTCTACAGGAACTTAGGTGCAAAAAAAGGTGACAATAATTGAATCTCAAGGCAACTTGGCCAAAAAATTTATGCTTATGATAAACAAAAGATCATTTAGTTCTTGTAATGACCCTTTTCGTGAGATCCACTAGAGCTCGTCTTGAAATACGAGCATTTTCACTAATCGTTTCCGGAAGAGCTTCAATTGCATTCACCGCAAGGTTCACATGTTCTTGAGCCAACTCTTTTGTCTTCTGGATGCCCTGACTCCTTCCAAGGTAGATGAGGGCCTGTAATTTGTTAAGAATAAAATGATAAAAATAGTTTTCCTCCAGTTTGTATAAACAAATATAAAACACTGTTCATAGAGTAATTCTGAATAATATAACCATTCAATAGAAATGGCATTTCATTGTTACTACTAGGATATTCGGCATGTAGGAATGCATGAGAATGAACTGTTAAAAGTAGTAAAAAGCGGCATAAGATTTGACAATATGTCCTCATTAGTTACCTTTGATAACTTTAATTTTTCTTACCAGACTCCCCTAGCTGCAATTAGCAAATAACTAAAACTCATTGAGAAATAAAAAACTGAATTTGGTGTGAGGCGGGGTTGCTTGTACATGACTATAGTTGGGGTTTTCTTCTCTCGATGACATTTTAGTTATTTGCCAAATACAAATAGATGGGTGAGAAAATTATGAAGGTTCACATAATGTTGCTGAAGTATTTTTCCATTTCATCACCCATAATATACTTCAATACTCTTATCTTCATCATGAATCTTCTACTTTCACCCTAATTCATAATGAATTTTTACTTTTATCCTAATCCATAATGAATGTTTTATTCTTATCCTAATTGGTGAAATAAACACCTCAAAGTATGTCTTGAGCATCACTTAGCCTACTAGTTTAAACTTTATAGGATGTAAAACTCCCTCACTTTTCCATTTTAGAAATTATCTCGTCCTACTGTCATGAAAAAAGATAAATGTATAGCCAGGTTTACCCAACTTTGCCATTTCGGGCTCGAATCGTGTCCGACACGTACTGGGTACAAATTCATTGCTGACACGTGGTGGATACAGGTTTCCAAAGAAAAAAAATCCTTAATCTTATATCCACTAACCCAAAATTTAAGTGAACTTGCATATTGGGTTCAAAAACCCACCATAAAACCCTAGCTTCTCAGTGCTTAGAAAAAACCCTTGACAGGGCTTCGTCTGAATTCAGTGAGCGCTGGCGAAGTGTTTGAGAAGACAACTACACTACTAATTTTCAGGAGTTCAAAAAAATCACTAATATGTAATAGCGTTTGGATTTTCGGCATCTAGTATCCAAATCATCATTTTTGGAACAGTTTATTGACTGTGCTTTTTTATCAGTTTGATCGAGAAAATCTGTGATTTTATTGGGTTTCCATTTAAGTTGTGATATTAAGTGTTTGTTTATTTTTATTTAAGTTGTGATGTTACTTGATTCCTTAGTTGTTTATTTGATTTAGATATTGTAGCCTTTAAAATTCTCTCTCTGTTCTCGCTTCAAGGTTGCTCAATTTTATTATTTTTAAAATTTTCCTATAGATGACTATTTAGTAATTAATAATTGTAGGAAATTAAATAGACATGGATAGAGATTTTCAAAGTGAGGAAGATCAACTTGCTCCTCTTTGAGGATATGTTTAAATGCTCGAAAAACCCTCACGAGGTGAAGGAATTGGTTATGACCATGTAACAGTTGTTATAACATCTTAAGATTCGAGGGTGAAGGGTCATCTTTTGAGGTTCTCATTATTTGGGAATAAGGTTCGCAAGACCGTGAAAAGGGAAATATTGATGAGACGAAGAGTCTCGGATCAAGCAAAGCTTTGCTTACAATGAAGAATAAGGAGAAAGATGTTTCATTATCAACATCAGCGACAACAGTCAGAACACCCGAAATTACAAAGAAGAGAAGAAGTGATTGTGCATCTACTACCAAAAACAATCTTATGTTGTGGAGCTCGAGATCATCTACATAGCCTGATTGCAATAACGTTTTAACATGACCAATTTACCATTTAATTTATCAAGGAATCTATATTTCAATTGTTATAAGTATGCCACAAACAATGTTCCCGGAGGTTATTTTACTCACAATTTCAATCTTCTAAAAGTATTTCTTGCAAAGAGATAATGCACAAATCGAAAACTTGTCGAAGCCAATAAAGAACACATAGAAAGATAAGGGTGTCTTCATTGCATGGGTCACCTGGTCCGCTAAATGTTCTGCTTTTCTTTCGCATGGGTCACCTGAATTTGAATTATTCACATTGTTCCATAAAGAGAGAGCTACTTTAAAGACTAATGAGGATATCACATGAACAAATCAATGGAGAGCATGTGAACGTACTTTTATTTAGGATGCACCACTTAAATGCTCTTCTACCTTGGTCAGTAGGAACCGATTGTAACTCAATTGAAAAAAGAAAAAGAAAAGATGGATAAAAAATACATTCATCAAAATAAAAACAAAAATATTATCCTGTGATTCTATGATGATTGGATGACAGTTATATCGAGCTGAGTCCTAACTATCCAAGAGCTCTTTAGGACAACTGTTGACATTATGACACTATGATAATATTTGACATTATGACACTATGATAATATGCTAACGAAGGTTATTGATAGCGGATAGCATCATGTAGCGCTGAGATACCGCTAAGGCTATTTGCGCCTACAGTGATTAAATAGCAGCAAATAACGCATAGTTAAATAGCGATCAATTTTAAATATATTTAAATATTCTAAACAATAAGAAAAATTATAAAAAATTTAAAACTTCTACAAATGCATATTTGATGATTTATAGGGATCTTATGCATGAAATAGATGTGTAACAATTGTATAATAACAAAGTACTATAAAGAGAAAAAGCGTGGAAGATAACGGAGGTGGAGGTGGTGGTGGGAGCACCAAAGATGGGAAGGAAGCACTGGGGAGAAAGGGTGAGAACCGACGGCTAAGATTTTTTCTCTTTTATGGCTGTAAATCAAAGACAGGACACACGCAAAGAGAGAAGACATCTGATAGGGTTTTAATGATAAAACGGGTTGGGTTTGGGTATAGGTAAGGTAGAATATAAAAGTTATCCACCAAATAAAAGTGAGTTTTAGCACTTTTAACTGTAAAACCTGCTATGATGCGCAATCACGAACAAATAGTAGTTTCGGCCACTATTTGCTATCACTTTCGATGATAGCATAATGATAGCCAGCGCTAACACTATGAAAACCGCTATAGCGAAGCTATGCACCGCTATTTACAATAGTGATGATGCATATGTAATTTTTATTCTTTGTGATTTAAGGGTGTGTCAGACAACTCCACAAAACTTATTTCGGTTGATACAACCATGCTTCAAAACATTATTTTTAGTTTAGCAGAAACTGGACCCAAGTTGAACTAGTTTTTCTAGTTCAAATTCTAACACTCAAACTAGTTCTTTTGTGAACCAACTCCTATATAGACCAATTTTGGCCTAGCTACTATATGGACCAATTTTGGCCTAGCTAAGGAAAAAACTAGTTTTATTTTGGAGACGCCAAAAACATTGGAGTTAAGTCTTGCTTGTGCAAACTCCTACATTGAGATATGTATAGAAAATTGTATAGGGAAGAATAAGAATGTTCATACATGATTCCATATAAATCTTAAATCAATGTACTATATAATCTTAAGTGTAATCACTATATTTAGGTACAATTAGCTAAAATACCATTATTATCAAAATTAGTGTAATTATCAACTTTAGAACATGTATTAAGCCACAATGCCCTTAATTTGGAAGCTTTTCTATTCCAGATATACTCAATGGCTCAAAATAAGAGATTTCAATAAAGAAAACCCTATAGACACAATGATTTTTCTTCAAATCAACCTCGAAAAAGGGGGTTAGTAGTACCATGCTCTGCTCATCATTAAACTAGTGACATCCAACATCCGATATGACTCTATTTGAATTCATTACGAATTTAGGGTTTCATGTAACACTTGAAATCCAAATCAATTCACATTTCATACTAATAAGCATCAATTTAAGCACATCTACAATCCCATAATAAGTTCAAAGTGCAGAGTTTTCTCCCTTGTTTTCCATGTGTAGTATAGATAGAACAAACGAAGAAGAGAAGATCTAGAGATGAGAAAAGGGGTTAATTACACAAAATCAATAAACTTTAGGGAGCCATTTAGTAAGGATTAAGGGAGATTGGTTAAGGAGGATTAACTTAATTAACCCTTCATGAAAGGTTAAAAATAATTTAATTATGTTTGGATTTGATAGTCAAGATGAAGAGTAAAGTTTTTTTAGCGTTTGGCAAATAAAGAAGAGTTAAGGAGCTTAGTTGCCATAAATATCCTAAAGTATATTTCTTTTTAAGTTTCGTTTCTTATTTTCAAAGAGAGTAACTCTTAACTCTCTTCTTTAGGTGGATTTCTTAACACCTCTAAATGAGGGATTAACTAACTTTAATCCTTGTACATTTGCTTGCTAACCTTTTGACCAAACTAACCCATTTGAATGGTTAAAGAGGGGTTAAACCCCTTAACGCTTCTCTTAACCTGTTGCCAAACTGGGCCTAAGGGTTTCGCGATTTAGTTTGTGAACTTTTCCCCCTCTAGACCACTCTCAACTTTGTCATGTCCCAAAATATCCTTCATAAACTTTGAAAATTTCATAACACCCTATCAAATTTTAGAATCACAAAATGTTTTGTTGAATCAGTTTTCCATTTCATCACCCTTTGATTTTATAGGTAATATCCTTCCACACTCTTTATCTTCAAAATGAATGATTTACTTTTATCCTAATCCGTAATGAATATTTTACTTCTATCCTAATTTGTGAAATAAGCTCCTCGAAGTATGACTTGAGCATCAATGTGTCTACTAGTTTAAATCCTATTGAATGTAAACCTCTCACTTTTCCATTTTAGAAATTATCTCGTCCTAGTGTCATGAACTAAGATAAATGTCGGACGACTGCTAGGTCACCCCGACTCCATCATTTGGGACTCAAATCCTTGTCCGACCTATATCGGGTACAAACTCACTGCAAATACTTATCGGATATAGGTGCCCAAGGAAAAAATCGATTATATCACATCCACTAACCCAAAACTTAAGTGTATTTGCATATTATGTGATTCTTGAATTGAAAAATTCAAGTTGCTTGGTGTTGACAATAAACCTTCGATAGGGCTTCGTCCGAGTTCAGCAACGACTAAAAAGTATTTGAGAAGA